TAAAGAACTGATGTAACAGCAAGAAAGCTAGAGACAGAATTTCTTTAAAATAATGACCCTTAAAATATCCAAAGGAAACCACCTCAAGAACCTGTCCTGATACAGGCACACCTCAGAGACATTGCAGGTTCAGTTCCAGACCAGCGCAAAAAGCGAATTTATAATAAAGCGAGTCACATGAATTTTTTGGTTTCCCAGTGCATATATAAAGTTATGTTTACACTATACTGCAGTCTATTAAATGTGTGACAGCATTATGTCTACAAACAATGTACATACCTTAGTTAAAAAAACACTGTATTACTTTAAAAAATACTAGTAATCATCTGAGCCTACTGGAAAAATAACACCAATAGACTTGCATGATACAAGTTTGCCACAGACCTTCAATTTTTTAAGTAATAAAAATGCAATAAAATAAGATATGCCTGTAATTCTTTATGGATATGATGAGAATGGTATAAATTAGTACAATACTAATTACTATTGTACTAGTAATTTAATACTATATTGTTCTTTTGGGAAAAAAGTATCTTATACTAAATACTCATAATCAACTGTCTTGTATTTCAAAATTCTGACATTTGGAGAATGGTCTATTACTTTGTTGGTTTTTTTGAAGTATTTCCTCCTAATACCTAGCTGATAAAGTCATGAAATTCCCATCCTTAGATTCAAATTCAGGGAAACAGTTCTGTTACAGCATAATGATAGATGGTTGAGGTCAGGGGGGCACAGACTGAAGTGAAGAGCGGAGCCAACAGAGCAGGAAGAAAAAAAGTAAATTCGAATCAAGTATTATTTTTGGCAATCTCAGAAGAATAAAGATTCAAGATAGAAGATAGCTCAGAAACCATCTAATCAGTCCTATCATTTTACAGATAAGTGAAGTTCAAAGAAGCCAAATGTCACCCAAGTCAGCTGAAGAACCAAGGTGAAACCTAGATCCCCCACCTTCCTCCCTCCCAGTCCTACTCAGTGTTCATTTCCCCTACAATGGAGAAAAGAGCTAGAGCACTAGGAGGCTGAAATGTGATCAGGTCTTAACCCAGCAGATGGGAAGAGGATACTGAGGAGAAAAGGAATCAAATAGCTCAGATATATAATATTGACTGGTCCTGAACCAGTCTTCCAGACAAACATTATGGTAACTCTTGATACCTACTACCACTCCAAAAAGCATGTGATCTTATCTTTGACCTGACTGAACCTCCACTCCTTTGTTTCTTCAATTCGATCTCCTCTCCAAATTCTCCTAATTTAGTACTTTTGCCCAAATTGAAAAAAAAAAAAAAGCTAACCTCAAGATATCTTAAGAACCTTCTGGATCCCACTAAATACGTAATAATATTTTTTAATAAAGTATAATAATAATAAATTTTTAATACCAAGCATTTGGGAACAAGACAGTATTTTAAAGCAAGAACCTGCTAACTACAGCCTACATGCCGAATCTGGCCCAAGCCTGCTTTTATATAGCCCACAAGCCAAGAATGGTTTTTAAACAGTTGTTTAAAAACATATACATACAAAGAACAATATGTGACCCAGAAAGCCTAAAATATTATCTGTGCCTTTATTTTTTTTAAGATTTTAACTTATTTATTTTAGAGAGAGGGGAAGAGAGAGAGAAAGGAAAAAAACATCAGTGTGTGAAACATGGATCAGTTGCTTCTCACATGCCCCCACCAGGGACCTGGCCTACAACCTTGGCATATGCCCTGACTGAAAATAAAACCAGTGACCTTTCGGTTTGCAGGACAACACCCAATCCCCTCAGCCATACCAGGAAGGGCTTATCTGTCCCTTTACAGAAAAAGTTTTCCAATCCTTGCTTTAGAGTATTTATTGAGTATTTGCTTTATAAACAGAAAATATTTTCTCTTAAACTATAGAATAATCTTTCATTCTAAAAAGCACCAAATAGTTTTGATGTTCAATTGACTTTTAAAACAAAGAACTTGCCCTGGCTAGGTGGCTTGGTGGGTTGGGCGTCATCCTGCAAACCAAGGAGTCTCCATCACCAGTTTGATTCCCATTCAGGGCATATGCCTGGGTTGCAGGCCAGGTCCCCATTAGGCATGTGCAAGAGGCAGCAGATCAATGTTTCTCTCACATATCGATTTTTCTTTTTCTTTTTCCTTCCCTTCCCCTCTCTATAAAAAATAAAACTTTAAAAAATCTTTAAAAATAAAACAACTATCTGTGCATTAAATATAATTGAAAATTCTCAATCATTAAGACAAATGCTAAAAATACATGTTTTAAAAATTTACTCTTTATTTCATAAATGTAGCCTTCATCTGCTCATTTTCCCTATTCAGTCCCTCACCCAACATACTGTTTTGCATAAACTTAACAGCTGTCGTACAATTACAGATCTCTCACCTCTTCAGACACTGCCTTCCCAACACTCAGTGCAGAGGAAGATGGTTCAACATACATGTATACTTGCCAGCTCTAAGGCCCCTGTTATTTCTGACCTACTAATCCCTATGCATTCATCTCTACTATGCTTTATTTATTCCCTTACAATAGCTTTACAAGCTAGTATTCATTAAACCATGCAAATTATAAATTTATGATACTCAAAACAAAAATTCTCATTTAATGAACAGACAAAATTACAACCTAAAGTAGACTTATTCACCGTCCTCCTTAACGCTGCTACACTTCTCTACCAAAGAACTACAGAATTCTAATCAGAAAATACACAATTATCTTTCATTGTCATTTGCTTGTTGTCATCATCCACCCTCACAATCTCTCCTACTCCTACAAAGTATAAAAAGTTGCCCCTCCATTTTAGAAACTATTATATATTATTTCTCTTCTGCATTTGCAGTTCCTTCTTATTATCTTTTTGGGTCCTCTGACTTTAAACATGCAGAAACTTTAAGTTTCTGAAGTATAACTTAAAATTCTATATCAAATTATCAATCAACATCCCTCCTTCTATAGAAAAACATTTAATAATATTCTTAATCATTTAAAATTCCACTTATTATTTCCACTAGAAGGTCTTTTCAGAATGAATTTTACCTGTGATTAACACTCACCAATTCTTTGTTGTTGTTTTCTGGGTTTTGTTTTGCATTGTTTCATTTCAGTGACACAGCAATACAACATGCAATAAATCACTCAATGTCTACGGAAGTTTATATGGGACAGAAGACACCCTTATAGTGGCAACTTCAGATTTAAGGTTAAATAATATTCAATAGGAAATTCCTCTAAATCAATCTGATGAATTTTCTAATAACAGAAATATAACTGAAATCTCTAACAGATTCGATTATCTGGCTTCTTTTTTCTAAGACTTTATTTATTTATTTTTAGAGAGACAGGAAGGGAGGGAGAAAGAGAGGGAGAGAAATATCAATGTGTGGTTGCCTTTAGTGTGCCCCCTACTGGGGACTTGGCCAGCAACCCAGGCATGTGACCTAGACTAGGAATGGAACTGGCAACCTTTTGGTTTGCAGGCCAGCACTCAATCCACTGAGCCACACCAGCCAGGGCCAATTATCTGGCTTCTAGTTGATTTAATTTCAGAAATTAAACTTTAGAATCTGAAAACTTGTTGGATTAGTCAATGTCAGAAGCACCTTAAACTCTATGTATTTTAAAAGATATTTAAAAGATAATATGCCCATTTTAGAACTTCTGGGTCTAAAAAGGGTGCTGGCCCTGGCCCGGTGGCTAGGTTGCTTGGAACACCATCTTCTACACCAAAAGATTGCAGGTTCAATTCTTGGTCAGGGCACATACCTAGACTGCAAGTACTGGAGACAACTGATCGATGTCTGTCTGCCTCTCTCTTTCTCCCCCCTACTTCACCCCTTTCCTCTCTCTAAAAAAAAAATTACTAAAAACATATCCTTGGGTGAGGATTATAAAGGGTGTTGAATACTACCCACATTATTCAAATGACGAGTGCTAAAATAGAAAAGCTGAAAAGATCCCATAAAAGAGAAGCAGACAGGTCAAAATCTTTATTTTCTGAATGTTATGAAAAGTGCATTTTGCAATTATAAATTTGCTTTTGATTGTGAAATTATTTTAAATGGTCTCCAAATATAGAAATGGTTAGCAAAGCTATATATACATGCAACAGTAGACAGCCACCGAAAATATTTATGAAGAGCTTACGAAATCATAGAAAGATGTCCATTGTAAAAGACCAGAACCCAAAATTCTACACATAACATAATCACAACTACACTTTAAAAACTATTTTTAAAAAAAGTACTGGAAAAAATCTATCAAAACAGTTATAGTGAAAAGCTTGAGCAGTAAGGAAATGGTTTGTTTTTCCATCTATTTCTCTTTCTATACTCATGAGCATGACTTTTACAATAAAAATGTAGAGTACTGATTTTTTTTAAGTTCTATGTAAAAATAATTTTATAAGGTCACTGATTATTTTAGGTATGGTACCATGCTCGTAAACAAAAATCCTACTAACAGGTATCACATTTATATTTTTAAAAAGATAATAAAAAGTGCAATTGGCTAAAAGTCAGAAGAAACAAGAAAAATCTTCCTCCCAGAGCTGATTTTTTTAATTCCCACTTAAAGATATGTTCATTGATTTTTAGAAAGGGGGAGAAAGAGAAACATCTATTGATTGCCTCCCATATGCACCCCGACCGGGGATGGAACATGCAACCTAGGTATGTGCCCTGACTAGGAATCCAACCTGCCACCTTTTGTTGTACAGGACAACACTCCAAACAAGTGAATCACCCAGCTAAGCTGATTATTTTAGCAGGATACCTGGTAATAGAAACCATTAAAATTTACTTCCCTATCAAAATCCGAGAAGATAATCACTCCACAAAAAGATAAAATTTAAAAAAACACCGATTTTGTAATACTGAGCTTGTATTTTCCAGCTCATACATGAGTTAACTCACATAATAAAGACTGCCAGCATCACAGATTGCCTGTGTTTATTAAGTGTTTTCCCAAAACAAAGTAGGAAAATAGTGTGGTCTCACTTGTGAAATATGATTGATTGATGATTCCATCCTTCGTAGCTGGGATGCCTGGATATCCAGCATCTGCAGTACATTGTTGGCCAAGGTGTTTATCAGATAGGCAACACTTGCTAAGGACTGGGTGGTATAGGCTTTGGTTTCTTCTAGGGCTCGCTGCTTATCTGCTGACTAGGAGAAAAAAAACAATCATTAATTAAAAAATAACCCATTCTATCAAACTAATCAACAATCATACTCATAAAAACAATTCTACTATTGAACCTACACACACTAGCTAAAAATGTTCTGAAAACTAATTATCAGTATGATGTAAATCCAACAACTAAACGGTTCACTAATGTTTTCATGTTGAATAAATACATCTTCCACATTGAAGATACACCTATCTGTACAGATGCAAGTAAAATCATGAAGCAATTACTTAAAATACAAGATCCAATGGATACTTTGAGCGATGACAGCTAGTATATATAGCTTCTCAATGCTACCACTGTTTAGAAAGGTGCTAGCATTGATCTGAATGTATAAATTCAGGCCTACTTTTTTTATCTTCCTGAATTCCTCCTTTCCTTCCATTCTAATATGTGAAATGTGAAATTGGCTTTAATGTAATGTCTGATTAAAATAAAAATGATATAGCCCTTGCTGATATGGCTCAATAGATTGAGTGCAGACCTGTGAACCAAATGGTCACTAGTCTGATTCTCAGTCAGGGCACATGCCTAAGTGGCAGGCCAGGTCCCCAGCTAGGGGCGTGCAAGAGGCAACCAACTGATGTCTCTCTTTGCACAACAGTGTTTCTCTCCCTCTCTTTCTCCCTCCCTTCCCCCCCTCTCTCTAAAGAAATACATAACATCTTTTAAAAAATAATAAGATAATGATGATAAACAAAAATGATAAAGTACATTAAAATGGCAATAACCATAATAAAAATTAAAATAATGAAAGGACCCATTCTTCCAAAGCATTTTAAGTGTTATGACACTATGGGAGATAAACTGCCAAGTCTCTAAAATCTACTTGGAAAACCAGAGAGTACGCAGTAAAAAGTGGTTACTTCCAAAGTTACAATTCAAAGCAATGGTAAAGACATATGCTATGCTGCTAACACCAGCTTCTTGCCCTAGAGTTCTGTAGAAAGCTACGGTTCAGCAGAACGTACACAAGCCTCTGAACCAGAAATCTTTTTTCTTAATGGCAGCTCTACTATTTACTAAAACATGTCAACTTGGCCCTGGCTCATGTGGTAAGTAGATAGAATGCAGCCTGCAAACCAAGGGGTTGCTGGTTTGATTCCCAGGCAGGGCACCCACCTGGGTTGCAGGCCAGAGCCCCAGTAAAAGGTGCACAAGGGGTAACCACACAATGATGTTTCTCTCCCTCCCTTCCCCTCTCTAAAAATAAATATTAAAATCTTAAAACACTAAAAATAAAAAAAAAATGTCTATGCAGACAACAGTTTCTCATTTGTCTCAAGAGCAAACCTCTGTATCAATCATTCTAAGTAGCTGTGAAACTCTAAGATAATGAATATAAACCCACTTTCTAAAACTACAAATCATTATCTGTAACAAGTCATTATCTCTCTGAGTGGTTATTAACTATTCAAAGTCCAGCCCGTCCCAGTTTCCTCTCTCCCACACACTTCAGAAGTCAGAATCAACAACCCTAGATAACAAGTTTTTCCAGGGGGAGAAAAACTGAAGAAGCAGCAGTTAACAAAATGGTCAAATAATATCACTTTAATTTGAAAAGAGTTAAGAATCACTGTATTAGCTTTTTATCTTTTCTCTTCTAATCCTCCATAACCTCAGTCTTATCAAAGCTCAAATTAACCATAGAGTTGAAACCAAATTTGGTTGAAGATAAACACTTTCAAAAAACACTATACAGACTTTCAGTCTCTGGTTATGTATATAGGGAGCTGGGAAGCTGGCACTCCATCATCACAGGTAAAAAGCTAAACACACTGGAAACGATCAACAACTTTTCTTAAATTCACAGTACAAAATAGTAATTCATTAACATTTTGTACACATTATTCTAAATCAGAGTATTTATTATACAGAATAATCTAAAATTAAAACAATTTATTAGTATGCTTCAAGGGATCAAAGGGACGAATATCTGGACAGATAGAATTATTTTCAATGTGTCCTTTTTTATATTGGCAGTACTTCAGATTGTTTGAAAACCAAACATTAATATTAATCCCTTCATACTATGCCATCCTCCCACTTGCCTGTTGCTAACCCTCTGTGTGATCTCAACTTCTGTGGTTCTGTTCCTGTTCTACCTGTTTATTTAGTTTGTTTTTGTTTTTGTTTTAGGTGTGATTGTTAATAATCGTGAGTTTGCTGTCATTTTAATGTGCATTTTTTTTATCTTCTTTTTCTTAAATAAGTCTCTTTAACATTTCATATAATAAGGGCTGGGTGATGATGAACTCCTTTAACTTGACCTTATCTGGGAAGCACTTTATTTGCCCTTCCATTCTAAATGAAAGCTCTGCTGGATAGAACAATCTTGGATGTAGGTCCCTGCCTTTCATGACTTGGAATACTTCTTTCCAGCTCCTTCTTGCCTGCAAGGCCTCTTTTGAGAAATCAGCTGACAGTGTTATGGAACTCCTTTGTAGGTAACTGTCTCCTCTTCTCTTGCTGCTCCTAAGATTCTCTCCTTATCTTTATTCTTGGATAAAGTAATTATGATGTACCTTGGTGTGTTCCTATTTGGGTCCACCTTCTTTGGGACTCTCTGAGCTTCCTAGACTTCCTGAAAGTCTATTTCCTTTGCCAGATTGGGGAAGTTCTCTTTTATTATTTGTTCAAATAACTTTTCCACCTGTTGCTCTTCCTCTTCCCCTCTGGTACCCCTATAATTCGGATGTTGGAACATTTAAAGATGTTCTGGAGGTTCCTAAGCCTCTCCTCATTTTTTTGAATTCCTGTTTCTTCCTCCTTTTCTCTTTGGTTGTTTCTTTCTTCTTTCTGGTCCACATCATTGATTTCAGTCCCAATTTTCTTTCCATCACTATTGGTTCCCTGTACATTTTCTTTCATTTCGCTTAGTGTAGCCTTCATTTTTTCATCTAATTTGTGACCAAATTCAACCAAGTCTGTGAGCAACATAATCACCAGTGTTTTGAACTGTGCATCTGATAAGCTGGCTATCTCTTCGTTGCTTAGTTGTATTTGCTCTGGAGCTTTGATCTGTTCTTCTGTTTGGGCCATTTTTCATTTGTTTGTTTTGATGGGCCTGTTATGTAGTGAGGGGCAGAGCCTTAGGTGTTCACTAGGGCGGGGCAACCCAGTCCCGCTGGATTGTGATGCTGTATATGGGAGCAGGGTCTGAGAGGGAACAATGGCGCTTGCTCCACTCTCTATGGGATTTCAGTCCCTTCTGCCACTTTCCCCAGGCAAACTGGGCCTTTCTGGTGCTGATTCCCGTGTGGCTGGTTTGTGTACATTCTAGGACCCTGTGGGTCTGTCTACCAAACTATCTTATGAGGCTGGGAGTCTCACCCAGCATCTCAGCCCTCACAGGAGTTTTCAACCGATGTTTTGAGGCTTTATTTCCCTGCACTTGAACTCTGGGTTGTGCACTCTGTCTCACTCCCCAGTTTCACCAGCCTTATCTGCACGTGAATATGCAAACGCCCAGTCAGCCACCCACCCTGCGCACTGTGGCCCAACTCACAGTCGCTGCCTCACTGGGTCTGCTCATTGCAACCCCACACCCGGTGTTTGTCAGCTGCTTCCTTGTGCACCCAGTGCCTCCGCTTTTATTTTTGGCCTCCGCTTTATTTTTTTGGCTGTGACCCCTCTCAGCCCAGCCACCCGACTCCACCCCTCCTACCAGTCTGGATGAATATATCTATTTTAACTTCTTGGTAGTTGGACTTCCATACAGTTCAATTTTCTGTCAATTCTGATTGCTATTTTGTTCCTAAATTGTTGTTGTCCTTATTTTGGTTGTGTGAGGAGGTACAGTATGTCAACCGACACCTTCATCTTGGTCAGAAGTCCTTCCTCACAGTTTTCCACCACACAATGTGATTGATTTGGAGAGGCTTTACTAATAAATTTAAGATGTCGCTCATAGAAAGTCAAGTGAAAATGTAATAAAAGAAAATTCATCTTCTAACTTGAGAATCTGAAGATGTTATAAGCTTATTTGGAACTGAGGGAAATATAAAGCCATATGTAAAAAGACTGATAGTGATCTTTACAAAAATTATTTTACCTGACATACTAGATCACATTTTTATCTGAGAAGCATTCCTTCATTTTGATTAAAAAGAGAAAATAAACAACGCTTCCCCACCACACACCCAACATCTGACCTACACTAGGCCAATTCTGACACTTTTGCCCACTCTACGCCACAGTGAGTTTGTTCAAGAAACAGGACCATGACACAGAAACCTCCCTGGACTTTTCAAACTAATTCCAAAAGAGAGAACTTTCTTTTTCTCTTATCTCAAATATATGAAGTCTGAAACACATGTAAGTTTGTCACAGAGCATGGAGTATGCCTATATGGAAGGATGAAGCCAGCATGTGGAAAGAAGCAGAAATGAGAGTCCTCAATTCCAGTCATTCCTGATTTTTTACATGGTTTAATTAGTACTAGTAAATTCACATTTTTGTTAAGTTTGTTCAAATTGAGTTTTTGTCATTTGAAGTCAAAAAATCCTAAAACACTTAAAAGTGTTCCTTCTAATAGCTTAATGTATACTAACTTCAGTTCTCAATAACATGGCACCTTTAAAATAGTCAAGGTGCTATGTCATCTGCCTAGACAAACCATGTATAGGCTAACTACAGACAACCGAGGCAAGTAAACTTGACAGTCGCCTCCACAACTAAAGCATCAGAGGAAAGCCAGAGAAGGTTACTTTAGATATAAGACAAGCGATCACAGACTAATTTGTTTAAGATTCTGAAAATAAAATTATTTGCTGAGACTATGGCTAACTACTTTGGGAGAACATACAACTAAAGACAAAGAGGAGTTTTTAGAAAATAATGAGAATAGAAAAGATAGAGCATTTGAGTTCTTCTTCAAGCTCTGCTCCTATATCACTGTCAATAAATCAGATACTCTCAAGGACTCATTTACTACTTGTTACTTTGAAAAGACTAGATATGATGTCAGTTTCAGCT